GTGGGTTATAGCATAGTAAAAGGTGTCTGTATTTATTACATTTGTTTGTTTGTTTGTTTGTTTCATTTTACGCCTTTTTCAACAGTATTTCAGTCATATAGGCGGGTAGTTTCCTAACCATCGATCCTGGAGAGTTACACCAGTACTAGACTACCTTCCTCCGCGCTAAACTACCAAAGCATCTCCCGGGGATCGAAGCCACGCCAGAGAGGTATCTGGATTAGAAGTCATCGACTCTAACCCCTCGACCACGGAGGCGGTTAAAGTAAACTCTTAGAATAATACGTCCATTTTTGTGACGTTGACGATCATAGTAATAAAATATCAGAATTGCTTTCCTCACGCATATCTTTACTCTTAACCTTTCAGGGAAACAGCGGCAACAAAGCCTATAATTCCAAAGCACAAAATAAATATTATTCCGGAGATCATACTTTACAACCAAAATAAAATTATAACCTATTACATTTTCTTTCTATTTCATGCAAACTCGAATCGGACATTGATTGCATTCGTAATGGCTGGATAAATTTGATGTTTTCGCATTTCTGAACACTGATTTCTATCATACCATTATCAAAGAAATAAGTAAATTTCAATTCGTTGATTTATCAATCGTTTTCTATATTGATTCATTATAAGTAGTCGAAATACTTTTTGTTACCATTATAGTATGTTTATTTGCCCTGATGATATATAGACATCGATCGGCATTGTATTAAAGTGATAGAAATCAGTTAGATTGAACATTAGTTAATTTGTTTATATGAATAAATATAGTATACAATATGCATACAACATAACATTTTATACATTTAATTGCCTTTATGCTGTTTGACGTACTAGGAATCCAGAAAAATAGTTCCAGTCATCTAAATCTTCATAAAGCAGATCATTGGATGAGGAACCGTCTGAATCAATTGTTACCCAGGCGCGTTCACCTGAACTCATGCGCACAGTCACACTGAATGATGAACATGTTCCTTCATCATTAGCTTCGTACAATCCTCTTGCATGTGTTTTACTATCCACTACTATAATATAATTGACAAATACCACTTTTTAGCTGAAAGAAATCAAATTATGGTTTCATTATCTTTTTTGTTAATATTTCTTTGTACCTTTGCATAACTCTTTTAAGGTTTTTTGGAAAATTTAGGATTACGTTTTAATTGAATATGTATGAAATGTTTTTTTTATAATTCATATAGATATAAATAGTATAACCAACACCAAAAGATGTTGTTTTTTTTTGCTTGATTAATTTGCAGTTACCCGAAACTTCATGCACATGTACTTGCATTTCGTTTTTGCCCTGCAAATATTAAATGATATAAATAGTCACAGAAGATTTCAACATTACACCACTTTTAGTATTTGTAATTACCTGTCAGGTATGACGCTTCTTTCTGTTCAAGCAAATTTAATTTCTTTCAATGTGTTTAGTATAGTGTCCCTTGTTCCCAAAAGTTCTGTCCGTGTCTCTGCCATCTTCTGATCGGTTTCTTTTATTTTGTTTCCGTTTCTAGCATATTTGTCTCCATGTTGTTCACATTTAATTCCACGCGAACCATTTTTTCAAGCAACTGTTCGTCATACGAGAATTTATAACAAAGCGGTTCTGGCATTGACCGCACATTAACACTTTAGAAAGCTATGAGTGTGTATAGAATGAAAAAATACATAATTAATACTCTGTTATAATAACTTGTATCGGCTATATTGCCACTCTCGTCTTGAAATTTTTGTATGCGAATTTGGGCGTCAGTGTTTGATTAAGTAGCACAAGAACGGCTAGTCACTGTACTTTAAAGAGGGGTGATTCAAAATTAGCACAACTCGTCTTGCAATTGCCGGTAACAAGTAAAAGATTAATTACATTTGTACTCCATTCCCAAAATATATCTACCTTTTTACTTTATATGGCACAAAGTTCAAAGTGACGTCGTATTTTATTCGTACAACAAGGACAAGTTCCTGGTTGATGAAATATTCAAACTGTTCCATTGAGCTATAAAATAGTATTCTTTCGGGACTATTAAAAGTAATCAAAATAGAAAACACCTTCTTGGCGAATCTTGAGTGCAGTCCGAACAACTGATCGCCGTATGAACACATCTGCGGATGTTTCTAAATTCAAAATTTTACTATGTATAGGTTAGAGTGCATATTGGGTGTTCTTCGTAAATAAGAAAGCTAAAAAGGAGCGGAGCTTGCGAAGCGACTGTAGCTTTCTTATTTACGAAGAACATCCGATATGCACTCTAACCGGCTTAGTGCTCCGCCCACTTGCGTTTTATAATATAAAACGTCCAGTTTATATAAAATCTGTTCTATTAAGATTTGTAACCTGAAAATTTGAAAAATCCTCGTCGGTGATTGGCTTAAAAAAATTGGCGAGCACTAATTCATGTTTAAATGTTGAATTCTGCTTAAGCCGGTGCTAGGGGGCGTGGACGGTAACTTGCACTTTCCAGTACCGTCCATGAACAGGCTCAATCAAACCGAGCCTGCAACATTTTCAATTTTGCCGTGTTGGGCTTTCTTTAGGGATTCTGTATTTATCTATTTTTTAAATTTCTGACCGGCAACTCTTTCCATTCTTCAGTTTAAAGACGTTGTATTAAGCGGAAACGCATGTTCTCGTTTATTCTAAAATTGTGATGAACTGGTACTGATGATGTACATGAATATTGGCCAAACTCGCGAATTTGTTTACAACCTATTTGATTCATGTTACCGATCTATGTCGAGAATTTGGCGGAAAGACTTCGGCCAGCACGCGACCAAATTTGGACCGATATATCCATTGTATAATCATCACACTTCGTTATGTCCATAAGTTACTTATTTCATTGAATACGGTTTGTATTTATACGGTGGAGTCCCCAAGGCTCGGTCCTTGGGCCTTTTTTATTTTTGATTTACGTAAATGATGTAGCGGATTCCCTTTTAGGTGTAACAAGACTCTTTGCAGACGACAGTTCTCTAGCAGTAACATCAAACAATGTAAACACAATCGAAGAAACTATTAATCACGACCTTGATAATATTCTTACTTGGTCAAAGCAATGGTTGGTTAACTTTAATCCAGCAAAAACAGAAGCGATATTCTTTACATACGTCAATCGAAATCGACCTAATTTATACTTAAATAATGTTCAACTTAATTTGTAGACCACCATAAACATCTAGGTGTCACATATTTGAACTTGATCTAGAAATCATTAAAACAAACTTGTAGACCCATTTCCATGATATTTGGATAACAACAAAAGCCTATAGAGAGTCAGTAAGATTTTTTTTCTTATTTTTAGCCCCTGTTACCCAGGTTTTCATCAGGGATGACAAATGTTCAAACAAATCCGAGAAATTACCTAGACGATCATCCTGACCAAATTTGATAACAAATGAGTCAAAAATATGACCATTAGAGTGTTAAGAAAGTTTTTCCATATTAAGGCGTTGTGACCAATATTTTGACCCTAAGTGACCTATGTTTAAAGTGGACCTAGAAATCATCAACACCAACTTGCGGACCAGTTTACATGTGCATAAAACTTTGCAACAGAATGTTTTTGGTCTTCAGAAATGTAGTCCATTCAAGGTAAATTGCTTATTGTTATCATTTTTATTTTTGTTTAAAATAGTCTTTGAAACATAGAACTGGAAGTGTACTTTCAAATGGCTCATCATATAACAATGTGAGAGCTTTGTTGTTATATGAAGTTTGGCCTACTTTCCCTTTGCACAGACTTTGTGAAAGCAAACATGGCTGACATAGCGAAATCACCTTAATAAGGGTCCATCCGCTCGTAAAGCTACTAAATGCAGCTTTCGCTGTCGAGTACGGAACATGTCACCAGTCATACCATTAACTTTTTTCTTTTTCACAAAGTGGTATGCTGTACCAATGACGCTAATGAAATGTAACCTTATATACTAAAGTTTAATTATTTCAAAACAACCAATATATCAACATGTTATTATTAAACATTTAATTTCATAAATATAAATTAAAAATAATTATCAAAAGCAAAATTGTTAAAATTTTATGCCTGAAATCTTCTTTATATTGACAAATTCAATCACAAATAGTATACTTGATATGCTGTGTGTAAATGTATTTCAAAATGTAACAAATTATAATTTCATTTACTACTAAAAAAGGGAAATAACAAATCAGAACATTTATAGCTATTTTTAGCTTTCGAATTTATGTAACAGCAGAACTGCTTTCCGGTTCTCATTCATTAATATGACATGCTGCGAATCACCGACGGGGAAACCAATATAGAAATCGAAAGGAGTTCTTGAATGCGGATTTACTTTTAGCTGTAAATTGAAAGGATTTATTGCTCAAATCCGGGCCCATGGACAAAAAAAAATAGTAAACACAAATAGCTCCGCGCCTGTGGGCGCGGAGCAATAAGGTTTTTTCTATATTTGGGCGGTGTGACCTTGTTTTTGAGCCCAGGTGACCCAAATTCTAACTTGACTGAAAAAATCATCAAAATAGAGAAAAACAGAATCCCTAAAGAAAGTCCAACACAAACTTACAGAACAATTTTCAGCAAATTTGGGTTGAAACAGTAGTCACTTGAGTGGTAACCAACTTTTCTATTTTTAGCTCCTGCGACCTTACAACTGAAGCAAAAGTGTGACCTCCAGAGTGTTAACAATGTGTTTCCATATTTGGGCGGTGTGACCTTGTTTTTGAGCCCAGGTGACCCATATTCTAACTTGACTGCAATATCATCAAAACAAACTTACAGACCAATTTCCAGCATATTTGGGTCGAAACAGTAGTCACTTGAGTCTTATCAAGATTTTTCTATTTTAAGCTACTGTGACTTAGCGTTTCATCCGAGATGACCCATGTTAAAACTCCTCTCAGGAATTACTGATAAAGCTTCCTGGCCAAGTTTGATTGTAATTGAGTTAAAATGTGCATACTAGAGAGTTAACAAGGTTTATCCATATTTGGGTGGTGTGACTCCAACTGACCCATATTTCAAATTGATTTGAAATTATATCAATAATCCTTCGGACGAATTTCCAGGATATTTGGATCAAAACAGAAGCTTCTAGAGTATTAACAAGAATTTTCTATTTTTAGCTCCTGTGACCTAGTTTTTCATCCGAGATGATCCATGTTCGAACTCACCTGAGCAATTAGCTAGGCAAGCATCCTGACAAAGTTTGACAAAGTGGCTCCTTGCCACGGGATATTGTTGCTGGATCGTGGGGGGGGGTGCGTTCATGAACACCGCCTTTTCCTTGTTGATCTTGTTAATCATATTTGATGATGATTGAGGCAAATATATAACCACTAGAGTATTAACGAACAAATGTGGATTCAAAGATCCTAAAAGCTCACCCTGAGCTAGCTAAAAAACGAAAAGAAAAAAAACAACAAACAAACAAACAGAAAAAAACAGAATGTTTACTGTCTAATATATAACAACGTGTTAAGTTGAATTTTATTATCATAATTAAAAATTTAAACCGCAGACTGAATATACAAATAAGTACTAAGTCTAGTATAGGCAAACTTATAATCCTTTCTATATCCACAACATGTGGTATTTTTACTATCATACACGATCAATGTAGAAAACTCATAAAAATACAACACAATATTAGAATTACTCTTTTGAAGTATTCACATATTCACATTCCTAAAAATTGGTCAGAGAGAACAACTTTCGATTTCCAGGAGGAATATTGCATATAACGTATCTAAAAACATTCAACCTTATTTAAAATGATAAATGATTTTTTTTAGTTCATGCTAACATTTGCGTATGTCCGTATGCTATTCTTTGATAATGTTTCTGGCGGCAAAATACAGTAAACGTGCTTACACATATCTGAAAACCACCGCTGTCTATTGTTTAAAAATGAATATTTCATTCGTGTAATTCAGCCCTTTTATCAATCAAACATTGAATATATTTATTGGGCATATATTTAAGAAAAATCTTACAAATATTTTTACAGTGTCAATACTTGGTTTATACACATTGTCTTCATGCTGTTTGGCGTACTAGGAATCCAGAGAAATAGTTCCAGTCATCAGAATCCTCAAACAGTAGATTCTCAGAAGAGGACCCCGATTTGTCAATTGTAACCCAAGCACGTTCCGATGAACGCATGCGTACAGTCACACTGAATGATGTACATCTTCCTTCTCCATTAGCTGTAAATAATCCACTTGCATGTGTCTTACTATTCACTACAAATATATACTCAAGGTTTTTCTTATTTGTTACACATAGATGGCAATTAAAGTAGTAGATCCCGCTTACAGGTGCTGTGAAATATCCGTCGGTACTAGAGTATCCGCTGCCTTCGTTCAATAGAACCTCGGTGAAGACGAACACCTGCTTATTGGTAACTGATTTGTCGGCGATTTTGTGTGCATGAAATGCCACGACATCCTTACCTAAAATAAATCAAATAAACGTTATGTTATCTTTGTCACAGATGTTCCATATTGATTGGTCACTAAGCAAAAAAAAAAAAAGTGTTATGAAATTATGAAGAGTGCTAAATAATAAGTGCGGGTTGCATACCTTTACTAAATATACGGTATACTTTTTTGGCGTAGTGACCAATCAACGCACCGAACACCTGTGGTATGTTGGAAATTTATGATTACCTTTTAATTAAATGTATATGAAATGTTTTTATCAATTCATATAGATATAAATGCTAAAACTAGCATCAAAATATGTTATTTACTTGCTTGATTTATATTACTTGTATTAATATATTTTTGTTTTTCCCCTATGAATATATAATGATATAAATAGTCTAAGAACACTTCAACATCACCACCTTTAGTATTTGAAATTACCTGTCGACTCTTTTTTCTGTTCAAGCAAATCCAATTTTTCATTTATTTCTTTCAATGTGTTTAGCACAGTGTCCTTTGTTCCCATAAGTTCGGTCCGTGTCTCTGCCATCTTCTGCTCGGTTTCTTTTATTCTTGTTTCCGTTTCTAACATATTTTTCTCCATGTTGTTCACATTAAATTCCACACGAACCATTTTTTCAAGCAATTGTTGGTCATAAGAGAACTTTGGACAAAGTGGTTCTGGCATTGACCTCACATTAACACTTACGATAACTACGAGAATGTATAGAATGAATAAATGCATCTTTAATAATCTGTTATAATAACTTATATCGACTATCTATCCACTCTCGTCTTGAAATTCTTGTTTGCCAATTTGGGCGTCAGTATTTGATTAAGTAAGCACAAGAACGGCTAGTGACTATACTTTAATGAGGGGTGATTCAAAATTAACACAACCCTTTTTGTAATTGCTGGCAGCTTGTAATAAATTCGTTACATTTGTACTTCATATAAATATATCTACATTTAACCTGATATGGCACAAAGTTTCAATCTCTTTACCTAAACCTAGATATTTTCATAGTCCTATGGAAACCAATAAGGCACTGAAATATCGTCGAGCAGTGTAAAATGTGAGGTATATTTTATAATGTCAACCAGACCGAAATATTTTATTCGTACAGCATGGAAATAGCAAGTTCCGAAGAATAAGATGGTTGATGAAATGTTCAAACTTTTTCCATTGAGTTAGAAAAAAGTATCCTTTCGTGTCATAAATATCAAAAGTAATCAAAATAGAAAACACCTTCTTGGTAAATCTAGGGTACAGTCCGAACAACTGATCAGCTTTAAATTTCCGACCGGCAACTCGTTCCATTCTTCGGTTTAAAGACGTGGTATTAACCGGAAACAAATATTTCTCCTTTCTTCTAAAAAATGAAAAGAACTCAGTCTGGTACTGATGAAGTACATGAACATCGGCGAAACTTGCGAATTAGTTTACAACCTTCTTGATTCATTTTGCCGATCTATGTCGACAATTTGGCGGGAAGACTTTGGTCTGCACGCTATTAAATTTGGAGCGAGATATCCATTGTGTAATCATGATACATAATACTTTATTATGTCCGTAAGTCACTTTAATCCCATGGAATACACTTTGCAACAGATTCCCATGATATCCGTAGCATACAAATAAAGAGGGGATTTAGATATACTTTTGACAAATTATACATCAAATGATATACATATAATTACATTTGTATTTCCAAAGTGCTTCAACATTACCAGTGTAAAACAGCTTACAATCGAGGGTGAATGCACCTTTCTATGTATCCACATTGCAGAAAGTCGCATATAAAGAAGTATTTTAAAATGTCTAACAATATCTTTACATATGTCAACGCATTATTCTTGCATTTGATTCCTTGCGTAATAAAAATGACCGGTTTCGTTATGCTTTATACGCGCAAGTGTGATGTCATTAATGACAAATTTACCAGTTTGTTACCTGGACCATCATTAGATGCAGATGATAAACATGCGGCTTACTTGTTTTCATCCATTAAATCATATTCTCTTCTTCGTTTATGTGGCCTGACGTGTACTGGTTTTATGCAAATATGAAACAACATCGACGGTATTTGAGATATTTATTAATATTTGAAAGCTAATTCAACGATAGCATTTATTTCGAATCACCCCTCTTGATATACACATGCGCAATAAAACTAACTTGGTTCGCAGATATTGCACAAATGACATTATTTGCATATAAAAAATAAAACTACAAAAAAACAACAAACAACAAAAAACAAAAAAATTATCTTGATGTGAGCAGTGTTTTGAGTTACATCCGTCTTTCTCGATTGAATCTTGCGTGCATCATCATTGTATAAAAAGTTTAGGACAAAACATCTAATCTTAAACAAGATACATCAAAGATAAATTTTTCTTTTCTTTTTTTATCACGTCAGCACGAATTTACAGCGGGTTTTACATGATATTTATAAAACCTTTTAAATTTTTTCCGGAGAAAAATGTGTTTTTTTTAAATTTCCCTCAAAACAAAATTTTCCAAATTTGAACTTGTTAAAATATCTTGGTTAATAGACGATCGGGTTGGTTTCCCCGGGTTCCTACTGGAAAAAAACAAAATCAAAGCAATGGCAATGTGCTTTATGTAACAAAAAAATGAAAACGAACTATTTAAGTAAACTGCTGGTAAGTCCACAAGCTAACAGTGAGTCCTGCAGAATTTAAATAAGTATTTCGAAATTGGACAATTCTACACTGCAACTCTTTTCACCACTTATGATAAAAATCAAATCAATATTATTGTCGTTTATTAAAGGAAGACTATCGACTTCACATAATTTTGCATATTTGTTATAAATTTTTGATATTCTATTATTCAAGCATGTCAGTTTTATAGTAATTATCTCATTCACATTGAAATAAGTACGCAAATGTGATTATGATTATGATAACACCATGAGATGCACTGCTTTAGACGTAATGTTTTAAGATGTTTCTATCTGATTTATAAGAAATGGACTTAGTGTTACGCTGACACATAAACCCTTATTCTAAGATATTGTGTTTTTAGCTAAATACTCTATAATGCCGATGACAAGAAAGCACATCTTGTACTAAATAAAAACATTATTTTCTGGTCAGTATCTTATTTAGAATATATATTTGTAAAAAAAATAACAGAATATTCATTGTGCAAAAGTCAGATTATTTTTGCAATTTGTAGCTGGACCACGGCATTCATTAAATATTCACCAGTACTGCTTACAATATTACCTTCATGTAATATGAAAAAACGTTATCGAACTTTAGGAAATAAAAATGTAAATGCACATCATCGATGTATTTGACCAATTACAATGGCATCGTGTTTCGTCAATCATTTTCGATGACTGTAGACATGCATACTAGTTTGGTCCATCATACTGTCACCGATAAAACAATGGAAAAAGAATGATTATGTAATATTTTCTATATATTAAATTAGCTAATTTAAAAGTAACTGCCGCTTTAGTTTTCCCTTAATTTTTTTTCGTTCACTTATCGTAAATTATATGGATTCTACTAATGCACTGCTTTAAATATTTAAAAAAATTACATTTGAAAAAAGCGGACTTTGTTAAATCGACTGTCTCTATTGTACACATCATATGATTTAACTTCCCTCTTTTTATTAAATTATTAGGATCCTGTGTTCTTTTTTTCAAAGCATGGGAAAAAATCTGTGAAAATAGTACTTCAAAAAGATCTCTTTGTTGATTAAACAAACAATTGCGCCAGGCTGCTTTGGTGTAACAATAGATCTTCAGATATTACATGTAATAAAGTAATTATATAGGCCCCTCAAAATGTTACTATTTGCACAATTCGTCAACGTTGACAATTGCTTCTTATACTGTATTTCTCGTCTCATACAAATGTTTTTTCAAATTTGAATTCGACATATTTAAGTTAAAAGATAAAAACTTTTTATGTTCACATATAAAAGTATGATGTTATAAAAGTAAAAATACATGTATATCTAGAGGTCGTATGACAACCTCTAAGCTTTACTATTGGAGGAAGATTTTTGGGGCCCTCAGTGAATTATCGAAGGCAGGAGCAGACACATAGTAGAACCATCGAACTACCATAAGCTAGCTTACATGACAGAATCCACAAAAGTCCTTGTCAGGATTCTCTCACCGACCACTAAAAAAGTCTTTAATCATTTTCAAACCTGATTTTATTATATATTTTCTCTATACAAAAAAACAAAACAAATATATTTAGTCGAGAAACTCGTGCGCATTTGATTAAACATTATTAAAGCATCACCTAAATGCTTTACTGCAGGAATGTTGAAATAACGCTGGAATTGTGCAAAATAAGGCTGATTAATGTATTCGCTTTTGAATTAATTTGTGAGAAAAAGGACCTCGTTACCATACTAAAAGTATGGTTTTGTGAATCGCTGATATTAAAAGAAAATATTAACGCACAAAATATGACTACTTAATAGTTATTGTAAAACTATATACCTGACTGTTATAGGTTTAAATAATACTGACAGGAAGCAGATTTTAACTACATGTATGATTTATGAGCTAAAGATGATTTCGCGAATGAATCTTCGAGCGGACCTTGGCTCCCTCATAAAAGGTCTCATCACAATCATCCTTATCGGCTTCCTTGCAGTATTTTCTATCAATAATTGTGTCATTTCGTCTTTAATTTCCTTATCATCAAGAGATCAAACAATAGTTATGCATACTTGTTGATTGAACGGAAATAAACGCCTACCTTATTACAGCTCACTTTAAATTTTGTTTATTGAACGTCATTTGTATGAACTGTTTTGCAAACGACATCATGCGAGTGCATATCACTTCTAAACTTGTTAACAAATCGATCATGGAAATTTTGTTACAAACATATATGTAATAAAATCGAACACTCTGAAAAATGCATCATGATATTGTTAGTTAATTAAGCTACAAAAGCATTTGACTTAGATAGTATACTCGCATCTTAATACCATATAAACAACCAGTAAAGTTTTCAATATAACGCTAATACTTTATTTGTGCAATATGATTATAATTTTTACAATGTTTAACTGTCTACTACACGAGATGTTAAAAGATGGGACTGTCGAAATAATATCTTCACATACAGAATAAAAACAACTTATTTCTATACATTTTAATGACATTGGTAGCTTACTTACATTGCAAGTTTATTAGAAAATGATAGAATGTGCTTGTCTTGAACAATTAATGAACAAACATGTGTCATATTGTTCTGCACGCACGATTAACTGGAAACAAAAAATATTAGAATTACTCACTTCTTGTATTTAACATTCCTTAATCTCTTGGTCAGAGAGAAAACAAATATAATTCCAAGCACATCTCGAATATATAATTTTTCAATCAAATATTATAACTTAATATCTTTTCAAATAAAGCATAAAAATGCGTCTGCCATTCTCAAATTAGTTCCAGATGCCTAAATAAAATTATAATATAAATTGTATAGTATATAAAAGTAATATATAACACATGAATTATCTTCATGTTGTTTGACGGACCAAGAATCCAGAGAAATAGTTCCAGTCATCAGAGTCTTCATAAAGTAGATCCACGGAAGAAGACCCGTTTGCGTCAATTGTAACCCAAGCACGTTCACCTGAACGAATGCGCACTGTCACACTGAATGATGTACATCGTCCTGTGCCATTAGCTGTAAATAATCCACTTGCGTGTGTCTTACCATTAACTACAAAAATATACTGAAGATCTTTCTTATTTTGCACACATAAATGGCAATTGAAGAAGTAAATGCCGCTTACAGGTGCTGTGAAATATCCATTGGTACTAGAATACCCGCTGCCTTCGTTCAATAAAACCTCGGTGAAAACGAAAACTTGGTTAACGGTTACTGATTTGTCTGCAATTTTGTGTGCATGAAACGCCACGAAAGAAACCTGAAAGAAATCAAATTAAGGTTTTATTATCTTTTTTTATTAATTTTTCTTTGTACATTTGCCCTATTTCTTGTTAAGGTTAAAAATTTAGGATTAGTTTTAATCGAATATTTATGAAATGTTTTTGTTTATTTTTAAAAATTCATATAGATATGCTAAAATGCTATAGCCAACACCAAAATATGTTATTTCTTGCTTAATTAATTTGCAGTAACCCGAAACTTCTTGCACATGTACTTACTTGCATTTTTGCCCTACGAATATTTAATGCTATAATAAATAGTCAAAGAACACGTCAACATTACACCCCTTTAGTATTTGTAATTACCTGTCAAGTCTGACTCCCTTTTCTGTTCAAGCAAATTCAGTTTTTCATTTATTTCATTCAAGGTGTTTAGCACAGTGTCCTTTGTTCCCATAAGTTCGGTCCGTGTCTCTTCCATCTTCTGCTCGGTTTCTTTAACTCTTGTTTCCGTTTCTAACATATTTTTCTCCATGTTGTTCACATTAAATTCCACACGAACCATTTTTTCAAGCAACTGTTCGTCATATGAGAACTTTGAACAAAGCGGTTCCGGCGCTGACCTAGCATGAACACATAGGAAAAGTAAGGAAAGCGTACATGAACGCATTTTCACTTGAAACATCCTTTTAGTTATATGCCTTCGCTCGCACGCAAAGAAGATTCCTGTCTGGAAATGTGAGCGAATGCAGCTGGTTAAGTAACGTATGTTACTTTTGTTTATAATATCAGGCTTGTTGCCATAGAGACATGGGCTTTTCTTGCTTTCTTTTGAGAAAATTGTTTAAAGTAAAACTTCGTATTTCGCTAGCTACAGTGATATTTACAACGTTGATATTCTGAAACTACTGAAACATCAATGTGAATTATAAAGAATTATATAGATTTTAACAGGGCTGATAAAAAAACTTTGCGAAATGTCAGATAATTCATTTACTAGACTAAGTATGTAATGCACTCCTTTCTCTAAAGAAAAATGCAGATCATTTCATATTGGACATTAAGTCTGAGAAATGCTATCAATTTTGATCTTCAATGTTTTTTACTAGTTTCCAAATATTTACTCATTGGCCACATAGATAATCTATTTTTGCTCATTTGGTGTACTAATTATATTAATTTAGTTTTTTGTATGAAAGTAAAAAAAAAAAACTTTCATAACATCTTATTTCTTTAACATTACTGCATGTTATGTGCTACTATTTTTTTCTTTGTGGAATCTGAAACGCTCTAAATTCATTATCAAAATATTATTGACAATACAGTCCCAGTATGAATTTCTGTATAAACTGGTATTAAGGTATTCCGACTCTAATAGTGAGGTTTTTGAAACTGCAAATGGTTATTATTTATAGCAAGTATATGCTATAACTCATTTATTTTCAAGTTTTCAGTCAGATTTACTGTCTGATTTAAATTTTATACAAAATTGAAGTTTACAACCCTTGATCGCCAGATTGACCCAAAAGTCCGAGCACCCTGCCAGACAAAAAGAAGTAATTTTTCTTATAAAAAATGAAAAAATAAAAACAAAACATATATATATGTGTGTTGGTTTTTAATTGTACATCACAAATAAATAAGAAAAATATGCACCAAATATAGTATACAGTATTAAAATGTTTAAAATGTTGCAGCTCGGGTTTGGAAAAAGGAGAAAAAAACACGAAAGTTAAAAAACAATACATCTATGTTTTTTACCTATATTACTCTGAAAAATATTAGTGCAACACATTTTAAGGACATAGAAATTATCTAGAACACCTAATGAATAAAATAGCAGATAATCAAAACTTTTACCGTACTGATTGTGAAGAATTCAAGTTTGAAGTTCACAACCCACCATTTTATTTTCAAGCACTTTTCAAAAATCCAACTAATTAAAGTTTGTTAAATTTCTCAATATTATTATTTTAGGCAAAGTAACCTTAAAATGAAGATAGCATATGCCAGACAAGATAACTATGATTAAAGAAGTAAATTAAAAACAAAAAAATATGAAATTTGAAGAAAATGTGCCTTTTTATGATTTCGATATCAACTACATTCTACTGGCCAAGGCTAAAAAACTTCAAATTTTTATGTCACAAGAAGTTTCAGTTAATTGTCTTAATCAATCCAATAACTCTTTCTTATAAACTTTATGACAAAATTTATAATTTACATGAGCAAAAAGTCGAATAAACACAGATTATCTCTGTTTTTGAAGACTATTTCAAATTTAGACCAATGCCCGATCACTTATAATTATCCAATCAATAGATATTTTATAATATTATCAAACACTAATAATTTGTGAATGCTTTTGCAAATACAAGGTACTTTTCTCAGTTCCATAACACTTATAAGTGTTTTATCATTACATATGATAAATGTTTGAACATAATTCTTAAATTGAAATTGTTTTTTTACAAGACTACATATACAGGATGCAAGTGTACATGTTATTTCTTACAAGAAAAATGGAAAGTTATTGTGTTACAATCAATTAAAAAAAACCTAAACAGTTACATTCCATTTATAACAAAACTGAACAATGTTGTTAAACTATTTTCACATTCACCAAAATTAAAGTTTCTTTTCTTTGAAAAACTCTACTAGTTTAGGGATCACAGAATCTAAAATCCGTTTCGCTGCCGTAACACGCGGTTGGCCCTCACTGTTTTTCATTATGAAAGTATTTGTAAGGCCATCCTCTCCATCACGCTTGTATATAGCTTCAAGATGTTGCAAGTTCAAACTCAAACCAGACCCTGCTATATTTTCAGCCGTAGGTGCTTTGCATATGGATTTGTATAGAAGCACTGACAACGATGGAAGATTTTTGGCTTTCTCCTTGTTGAACAACATGTTCTTACAAACTGCACTTACACTAAAACTTTGAGTCAATACTGTCTTGTTGTCAACGTCCAAATGGGAAATAAGACTGCCCAAAGCATGCACGTCTTCTGCAGCATCATGTGCCCCATATGAGGTGTTCAAAATGTCATGTACCAGGTCTTCCTGCTTGTATGACTTCCTTCCTGGAATCACCTTCCGGAAAAGTGAAAGAGAATCAACCAGTGCTTTTGTTCCGTCAACAAACATATCATATACACCTGCACAGTTCAATGCAATTACAATTACCGGAAAATCGAATTTTTTACCATTGTGTGCAACTAGAACACAGTTTGGAATTTTCTTCACCCAGGCAGTAAATAGTTGTAGGGCCGACTTTATATCTGTTGCTTCTACCGGTTGTCCAAGATGTAATAGACGGTCGCCATCAACTGAGAGGCCAGTGACTTGCCTAGCCCCAGCAGATATGGGTTCTGTCGGTAGAACATACTGAGAAAATGTACGGGTTCCAGCCAAATCTGACGCTGCTATCTGCGTTATCTGTGGCAGGCAATGTCCACGAACTGTAAAAAAAATCATTTGGTTTCATTTCGGTGAATATCATTTACTGACAATAAATATATTGCAATATGTGTGTTTTAGAAGAGTTGCTAGTACTAGTTAGCACTAAATACATAACAAAACTGTGCACCTTAGCACTAAATACATAACAAAACTCTGCATCTAAGTTGCCGCCAATAAAAGCTAGAGTAGTTAACTATTTCATTTACACTTTAGAGTAGTAAACTTTTACATTTGCATTATCATAAACTATTTCTTACTAAGGTCTGTCGTCTCCAGATCAAACGTCACCAATGTCGGGTTTGTGAGCTGAATAGGTTTGAAGTCTCCTTTGGGTATTGGGGCTGGAATAGCCTCTATATCTGCATTGGTCTCATGGCCAATTCCTAAAAATCAATCACACAAATGATAAACATTTTTGTCTGGTCTTACCGGACAATTTGTCATAATGTATTCAAGTTTTAAATTAATGAAACTTGCAAACATAAACATTATTTTTCATCCTTGATCAAATCTATATGGTATATATTATTATACTATATTAGTAAAATATTATATAGATACAGCTGCCAGAACACAAATTTTACTAACCAGACTGATAAGAGACTCCTTCCAACACCTCCTGGGCACCCTGGTTCACCGCCCGCTCTTTCTTCAACTCCAAACGGCGTCTTTTCGTTGAGGGAAGTTCCATTTTGGCCTGGACACGCTCACGATTTTTCTGGCACTTTTCAGCATGCTTGAGTGTGTGGACCCCAGGGGACAAGCCAGCATCTACATTTGCCTGCAATTATGGAAAAAACATAGTACAGATTACCTTATCTTGCTCTATTGTCTAATAAGTATGAAATAATAAGAGTTATATAACAACAGAACAATATTTTTTTTAATTTTTCTTTTTATAAATAATGTACTTTTCTCTTAAAATACCCCATAAATGAGTGTTATAGCAGCCAAAATTTCTTATCTTTGTCTAAAGTATTAAATAAATAATTTTTAATTTTAATCAGTTGTACCTTTCTTATCCTTTGTCCAAATTGAGACCAGAATGCATGTAGATCTGGAACGTGTAACTGTAACTTGAGACAACTGTAAAAAAGAACAGAACATAAAACTCAAACACCAGTAACAAAAAAAACAAACAACATTTTGCACACCTGAGATATATTGTTTTGATTACTTAGAATACTGAAAAGTTCAGGACAGATCTATATGAGTGTTCAAAGAATTTAATTCAGCCAAAACAGATAAAAAATAGCAGATAGGCAAGCATTTGTATTTCCATTTTCGGCCCAATGGTCATTCTTTGTGTAGCTTTGTATATTGTATGTGATTAAAAACTCAGGTGCACTACATCAGCAAACAAGAAAAATAATAAACATGCAAACTTGAAATAATTTTTTCATAAATGTGCATTTACGCACAATAACCAGAACACATTTATTTGAATTACCTCTGCGATGTAATGTCTTCCTTCATTGATGCAAGCTGCTGTAGCGTGGACCCTATAGTCAAGAGACTTGAGTGTTCCCATAATGGAAGCTCTTAGGCGCTCTTATTGAAACTTTCCCTTGTTGGCATGTTCACAGCTTGTGATGAGCCAAGATCCGCATATTGCTCTGCATTATCGGCAAGAGGTTTTTAAAAAATCCCCTCCAAGGCTGCCCGAAGTTGTTCGTCCTTCAATGGAGCCTTGTAAGGCAGACTTCTGTGGACATAACTCTTCCTGTCTTCTGGGTGAACGCTTATACCCACAGAATCTAGGATGGCACATACTGTGATCACAAATTGATGCGGAACTAAAGCATTCAAGTTTTCTCTCAGAGCATCCTTATCACCAGCATTTTTTGCAAAAGCATATTTTAAACACTTTTGAAGATGGAGGATAGTAATTTTACTGATTTTCACATTTTTAGAGTGATGAAGACTGAAGAGATGTTTTCCAACATTTTTGTCAAATCTCTTTTTTAGATGTATATTTAGATTGTTTTTCACTCTAGCTATGAGTGTATTGTCACCATCTCCTTCAACATATTCTATCGGAGTTCCTTCATCCTTCAGTTCCTGCACTCCTTTCTCCCCACTGACACTTTCCATCAGTTTGGCACTCCCACGATGGTTTCTAACACACAGGTGAGGTCTGACTGCTTGACCCTTACGGTTGCGTGCCCACCAGTTACACGTTCCACAAACCCTGTGTGATACAATTGACTTAAGAACCTTCTTCCCATACTTTGACTTTGACATGAAGAATGTGTGTGCTGAAAGAAAATGAAAACTTTATTTATATTTATTAATACTAGCTGCCACCATTTCATGCAGAGTTCTAAAGTTTTGTACAATAAGATAAATTTCTTTTTAACAATATAAATTAAAAGTGAAATCAGTCAACCAATAACAACGTTTTGACCCAAACAAACTCAATATTTCCTATCTATGGGCTAAACAAAAAAGGCAGAAATTTCATTACAAAGCTTACAGGTTAAACTATCAAATCCACGTTTTTGCCAGGCGGTGTCAACTGAACAGGACATTCCAAGTCTGGTCCTACACTGAAATTTGTCTTGAAGGCGAATTTTGGCTCTTTCACAAGAGATCTTTCTACAGCCGTCAGGTTGGGAATTTTGTCTTCTGGAAATAAAAATCAATATAATTATTCACAAATTAAAGGGACTCCACTGAGGTATTTTGACATGATGGGACTGAAAATATTTTTTCCAGATAAATCTACGATTTGATGTAGGTTTAGACCACTAATTTTTGTGCAAAATTTCAGATTGAAAAAAATTACCCAAAATGAAAAGCGGTAAAACGCTTTTCACTCAATCGGGCTGAGAAAATCATTAAAATACGATTTTCAATTTATTTCATAGTATATTTCTTAACTATCTTTGCATATATTTCTGTTTAAAGTGCCCCAGCTCATCTATGTAAGAAATTCAACTGTAATGTTTTTAGGCTTTTAAATCTAAGTGAAGTCCCTTTAATAAATGTATAAAAATTTCTCCATTTCTGAAGTCAGGTTAAATATAATGCAGCATTAAAACTGTGTGCAACTTTTGTTAAAATGGGAACCATTCAATCTAATTTTAAATTGTGTGCGAATAAGTTGTAAAGTGCTATAAAAGTTAAATGTAATGCCATTTGCAGTTTATTATACATGTAAGAGATACCATACTTTACAAAACTTCTTAGTAAACCAATGCTTCAGTAATCTAAAAAATACCTGGTAACTCGTTCCTGATTGATGGGTGTGTCGCCTAAATCACTCCAATTACCATCACCTTTGTCAGCCTCGGCACTGGCACAGGACTGTCGCAGCACCTCCCTGGAAATAATGCGATACTGAATTTACCAATGTTGGAAAATAAAGTCTATAAAACAGTGAACTAAGAAATTCGTTAAGTTGCACCCTGTCACCCGAACTCTCTGCTTCTACAGTAATCAATTAAGTTTTTTATACCACTACCACAAATTATGTTGACTGCATTGTAACAGGACATGCATAAAAGAAAATGCACTGCCGGTATGTCAATTCTTTATGCTTGCTAAAATTATACAGACTGGGACTTTATAAAGAGAAACCTAACATGATTAAAAAGTATGGTATAAATATGTTTCCTTACTTTGTATGAGGGGATGCATCTGGCATTGCTCCAATTCCAAGGTCTTCAATTAGACTGTCTATAGACTGCTTTGCCTCATCAGTCTCTTTTTGTGAAACCTCACTAAACATACAAATACATGATAGTTAATGAAATGGAATTTTTATGATTAGTCATGAACAATGACTGACAGACATTAACAAACTACTGACGGTATTTAATTGACATGTGAATTTTTTTATTGACCGTTAGACAGCTATAATAGTAATTAATATTAGTTTAATAAAAAAACAAAATTATATTATTAAAATTATTTAAATTACTTTTTATCAGAATAAAACTTACTCCATTTCCTGCTTGAAGGCCATTTTGGCAGCTGCCGCTGATGACTTAACAGAAATCTTCTGTACTGTTTCTCCAGCCCGAGTTTCCATCTTCTGTAAAGTAATAAATAATTTGGAATGAGTGGTCACTGGATTTTTCACCGCTTAGTTAAAAAATGTGAATAAGAGTGATCACTGGAGCACCTATTAGGTGCAAAACTAGACTTCACTTAGTTACAAAATGCATCAGGGAAAGTTTTGTTTTGAGTACAACATGTATAAAAAAATGTTTTGTGTAATGCTTCAAAATACAGTTTGTACATTTCAATAAATGAATTATGACTAATTTACAAAAATAATATGAGTTCATACCTTTAAGTTGGAGTGACTTATAGTTGGGATGTTTATTGTGGCGAAAATGTTGTTAACACGATCTGGGCCCCCAATACTGTCTATCATTGCTGTAAATAAAGAACAATTTTTATTATACATGGATTTGTATCAAGTCTTCTTAATAAAATTTGTGCAATTAAATATTTGTATTTCAAGACTGGTAATACATTATTATACCAATGTGCACCTAAGATGTGTGATGATTAATATATGCATAATTATGCTCATGCAACAGCAATAATATGCACACATAACAAATACAAATGTAGCTACTTTATGCTGTGGTGACGCGTCATAATTAATTGTGAACATGACTAACTCTTATTCACATGACATAGAATGATAAAGACATGTAAAAAAAAAGTAATAAACATGTACAAAACTCTGGAAACAAAGTGATCCCCCGGAAGCATTAATCACAACAAAATAACATAAGAATTGCAGACTCGGTTTGATTGAGTCTGTACATGAGGGGTACTGAATAAGTGCAACATCCCTCACGACCCCTAGCACCGGCTTGAGCAACACATTACAGTGTTGGCATCAATGATCCCGAAGGACAGGAAAATATAGCAACACTGAAGTGAAGTACATGGCAACTTTTTACGGCTGCCACACAGCAGTTGTGAAGTACAAAACTCTGGAAACAAAGTGATCCCTCGGAAGCATTAATCACAACAAAATAACATAAGAATTGCAGACTCTGTTTGATTGAGTATGTACATGCGGGATAATGAATAAGTATATCACATCTTCTGCACTTATTAATTTAACTCAAATTATAACAATCCAATATTATTTCAATGCATAGTCAATCTTTAAGTTTAATAGGCATAGTCAATCTCTCTAATTTTTCATAATAAATTTCATTCCATATTCATTTCAATAAAATGAATGCATGTATCACAAAAATAAGCATACCTGTCCCAAGTTTAGTATTTGCAGCAAAACATGGCATGCCTTTTTGTTTGTTTCGGTGTGTTTTCCCGTATGTCACACGGTTCACAGCTGCACAGTCCACATTTTGACATATCACGTACAAAAACCCTGACAGTCCTTTCTTCTGCTCACCGATAACATTATATGCAGTAAGAGGCACAGGCCCTAACCCACATTCTTTACAGACTTTTAGATTATCCAATAAAACACCAAATTCAACCACACGTCTACCTTCCCTCCACTTGTTGTTGAAAAATTTGTTTGTTTTCCTTTGTTCCGGTATTCCTGGAATATTAATGTCACCCGAAGTGTTCGGATTACCCACGACGTAGTTGTGGTCTTCTATAATATTTCTATTAGTCCGTAATTTTTCACAAACACCCCGTTTTAACTTAAAAAATCGTCCGTACTTATCTCTCACGGGCGCAGCCATTCTACTTTTGAAAACGAGGCTACCGCCTGGTTCCCGATATTTACGTCTTTCATACAGCGGAGCCGGGACCGGTTATATCTAGTTTACGCCGGTACTCGGCAAAGCGCGGAATCCCGACAATGTACGAAATAAGGCGTAATAAGACGAAGATTATTAGAGTCGGAAAGCCTTAAGTGTAAATATATCTATATATGTTGAACGACGACAACAGAATCACCGAGTAGTTTTAAAACACGTCATGTGTGAACACACTATGTAAGTTACAATAACAGATACTGTGGCCCAGTTGTTCAAAACTTTTGTTAACTTTAACAACAAATTAACTAAACAGTTGTTAAATTTTAATATTTTCGTTAGCTAACGAAATGCCAAAAATTGAGTTGTTCAGAGCTGTGTTAATTTTTTTGTTAGTTAACAAGGCGTTAAAGTGCTTAACATTTTGTTAACTAATTAACAAGAAAAATTAATCCCACAATGCAGTATGTTTCTTTCCTCCACAAAAAACAAAATGGCCGATAACTGTCCACTTCAATAAGAAATACTTAGAAAATCAGCTGATGTACATTGTCTGCAAAATACAGCTGAGTCATAGAGTAATAAAAAATGAAAACTCATGTAAGATGATAAGTTTTTTTTGGCTGTTTGGTCATGAACATACTGTAACAAGAACCCCAGTATGTCATATCTACATGAAACTATGAATAGCTACCTTGACACACTTGAGAGTGATTTATTTTATACTGTACAGTTTATACATAGGAAAACATATTTAAAGTTATTTTACCTTCATATTCTTTGTGTAATGCCAGTACTGTATATATCCCAGTTACTTTGTGATTTCTGTGCATATTACATGTAGAGCAGACTCCACCAGACTTGATCCTAATTTGATCCTAATTCCAAGTATCTTGTGAAGCATTTGACAATGTACCATACATTAAATATGCATTCTGGTCTGATAAATATTAACCAGCCAGCCTGCATATAAAACAAACAGTGCTTGCCATTCATCTTTTTAAAATGTTCCCGCGTTTACACTACAACCTTTTCCCACATGTATATTTTCCTCCTTTTTGCATCTTTATCAGTGTTTATCTCATAATGTTTGTTAAATCCATTTGTGAAATATCAAAACTGGGTGTTAGGAAACATGTTAGCCAAGTCTGAATGATCAATTCCATTTTTAAACACTTTTAAACACGTATAATTGTAGCTGTTGACAGTAAACAACTTACACTAGAAGCAATTTTTATTTTTAGCTGTTGCATTGTGGTAAATGATGATTCAATTACGGGTCAGACTACCCTATTGTTTTTACTTCCATATGCTTATGTTATAAGCATGTGTGGAGGTCACTGTCAAAGACTAGGCTTATAATTTTATCATCGATTTTACTAAATAATGGCCCTTTGTTGAAAGTTTGTGAACTTTTTTTGTCTTAAGGATTATACATGAAGTTCACTAATTAAGGTCCACAATCATTGCATGGATTTTGACTTATTTATGAACATTTTCAACTTACAACAATGTATGGTTAAAATTGTGTATTTAATGAAACAAAACTTCATTCATGTCTTGAAATTAAAATTCCTTACAAAGACCCATAACCGTGACATGGATTTTAACTGAAAAATGCCCTTTTTAACAGAATTAAATAAAAGCTTGTTCACAAAATTACCAAAGCTCATGAGTGATGGTACATCTTGTTTTAAATCAAAAGACACCTTCAACTTAACATTTTCTTATCTTATTAATGAAGTTATTAATTGACATTGTATTAACAACCAATTTGTATATTTGAGTTTGACTGGTTTGTGCATGCAAATATCAATAGGCTATCTTATTTCCTCATTTCAATAGATACATGTCTTAAGATGTCTGAAGAAGAAAATGTTAAGTGTTTTTGTATATTTATCAAACAATAATGATATGAAGTATATTTAACAAATAGTATAAATTGCAGTATACTATAATTAATGCACAGCTAGGATAAAGTGAAAGCAAGAATAACATAGCATTAGGTTCAAAATACACACATTTACTCTCAAAATTTCAGCAATATGTAAGCCAGTTTATACAATTATAATTCAATTATCTATATAATTATCTATATAATGCAGTGCTCAATTTTACCACACACAAGTATTGAGATCTTAACTGTTAAGTTCCTTCCTAAAGATGTTCTTATTGTTTGACAGGCTTGCATGGTTATTTTACAATTATGTAGATGAAACTTTTAAAAACTTAAGTTGGACATCATTTACATGTATTTATATGATAGAGATTTTGACCCAAACCAGCACTATAGTTTTAATATTTTATAAGAATCACTACTGACTTGCATAAATTAAAAATGTGTTTTGTTTTCTCTTCCCACCTACAATACAAAGTGAATTTGCCTCTTTTCCAAAATATTATTCTCAAAATTATGATATGTACAAATAAGATCTCAAAATTATCAAATACTCCACTGTTTACACATAATACATGATGACCTGTTACTGTCAACATTAATATCATTGAATAATGTACAATTAAAGTCCAATGTCTTTAAATTTGAAAATAAAACTTGCTTTTAATGCACTCATATAAAAAAGAAAATTAGAAGAAGTTTCCTACATAAATGCCAAACCCTATTTTATTTGAGTTGGAATGGAGAGACATATTTGTATTCATTTTGGCCTTATTGAAAATATTGAAATGGTGAATCTTGGAGCTTTATATTACTTCATATTTGAATCCATGGTTTACATAACATTTATATAGATGACTTAATCAACTCTCACATTTGGTAAAAAATGAAAATAATGTTTAAAGTTGATGAGACAGACTATTGTAAAAATAATAGGAAGTTATTAATAAACACTTTTCAACATTACTGATATGATCAGTTGTTGTTCTATAGAATTTAGAAAGGGCAACTGTATGGTATTCAGTACTCAAGATTTGTCCTTTTATGTATAAAATATTAATGTATGAATCACAATATGAATTAAGGAAACTATATCATATACTATCTAAATTATATGATAATATTCTGTCATAATAATATACCCAAAACAACAGTATAAGATAACAGTATTGTAAACATACTACAATACTCTTTTTAAAGTAACTTAGAATGTGAGCATTGTCTCAGTGTAAATCCAGTTAGTTTATAAGTATTGAACCATTGCATTACAAACATATTTCTGGTTTCCAGATGATCATGGCAGTTAATAACTACATATATATGGTAACTACCAATTATCACACTGTAATACCACATTTGACAATTTATTATTTGGCACAAAACTGACATCAGACAAAAAACATACAAATAAACATATGAGACAATGGTCCTGTGAACATTGCCTTTGCCTTGTTGATCTTTATTATTGTTATTGAATGATTTTAATAAGATATTCAAAGTGAAGATTTAAACTGACAAAACAAACAAAAAACTGGCAATAGTTAACCAACCAAGAAGAGGGTTTTTTGAACAAAGCAGTATTGAACCAGTGGTGTCAGATTTTGGTAATCAATCCTATATAAGATAAGATAAGATAAGATAGTTTATTAAAGTTTTACACTAGCAGTACAATATTTTGTCAGCTTGTTACTCTAATGATCCAAAATAAGGTAGAATGAGGTAACTACATTTGTTAAGTGAAGTTCAAGAAAGTCAATTAAATCACAGGCAGGAATAAATTCATGTTTGTTTATGCTGAATTTAAAAGATGATCTAAACACTGATTATATTACTTTAAAACTTGTTTATCAGTATGACACCTGAACAGATTCAGACTTTTTATGAAAATTAATTTGTTTTTATACCACATTGAGGCTATTAATAGTAAATGGGACTTTCTTAAATTCCTGTGTAAATTGTTTAGAATCTTTTTATAGTTGAGAATGATGTCCCAATGGCGTTAAAAGTGACTGTTTTGGAGTTGACAGGGGTAAAATTAGGGAACAAGCAACTTTCTGTACCACTAACAATAAAATTAATTCACCTATGGAGGTGAATAAATTTTCTTGTTAAATCTTTGTTAAAGCCGATGTTTTAACAAAAAGATAACGCTATTTTTTTCTGAACAACTGATTTTTTTAACAAAGATATTTAACAAAAAAATTAACAACACTTTGTTAATTTAACAGAACTTTAACGTTAACAATGTCTGAACAACAGAATTGCTTAACAACAAAATTAACACAGAATTTAACAATTTGTTGTTAATTTAACTATGATGTCATTGTTAAATATTTAACAAAAGTTTTGAACAACTGGGCCTGTATGTTTAAAACTAGTCTTAGTCGTTCATTTGACATGTTCTTTAATGTTTCTAGAGTTCAATTTGACAACTATTTTGAAATCTTAACACTCTAGCCTGACCCACGTGGATCAAGTTACGAAACAACCATTTTATTCTTTACAAGGAGAGACATTTATTCATGTGACTGCCATGGGACATTTACATAATAATGAATGAAAAATACAAAAACAAAGAAACAAAAATTTTGACTGTGTCTTCCTTTTAGGAAATAAAAGAAAAATGATTTCTGATACATAATAGGCCTTTAATCTCAATAAAATATTAAATATTACCATTTTTTTCTTATTATCTGATATGTTACAAAAGTGGGGAATCAACTAGTTTAAAAATATGAACTATCAAAATTTGATGAATAAGTGTTTTAGTAAACATAGAACCTAAAATTCGTTTTTATTGTTAAAACAAGTCATACCCCCGCCAACAAGAGCCTTACCACGATGTGGGCAAACGTTTACTTAAAGGTATAGAAATCAATGTGTCTCATCGTTAGTGAAAACACACAAGTTAATATTTGAAAAAAAAATTCTGGCAATCTCATTATCGCTTCTTGGAAAAAAAAACAGAGTTTTATGTAAGCTCGATATTCGTCTTCTTAGAAATTATTACTGATCTCAGAACTAACTTGAAATTCAAGGAAAGTTGGATATTGGTTACTTTTCATTATAAAAAACGATCTCCGAGCCAGGTCAAACTTGAAAGCTATCTAGAAATTGATTTCGATGCACGATGTCAGTTCTTATAGCTAACTTCTCGAAGCCTATCGAGAAATGAAAAGATGTTATAGGGGACAAAAAGCTTTCTTCAATTTTTGAAAAAGAAGCTTAAAACGGATTTTTTAAGAATCTGTGTTGACTTTTTTCAACTTTGTTTTGGTCGAGGGCTCTACAACGAAAATATCGAGGACACATCATTGTAATGTGAAAGACCAACAGTATTTGTTGAGTATATTTCTTAAATATCTTTTGCATATCTCTCTGTTTTAAGTGCTCCAGTTGTTTTATTTACAGCAGTTTTAGGCTTTTGGACCTTCGTGAAGTTTTTTAAGGACATATCGGATTTTTTTTCTAAAATAAAGAATACATTTTATATAAAGACTTTGGACCTTCAAGTCAGCTGACGATAATAATTTGTCGTTTAAAAAGTATACCTTTGACAAAATTCAATTAACAGTACTTAAATAAGCCTTCTGGGTTTCCTTGTGATCCTTCATATACATATTTTCAGTTTCAAGTAAACACATGTTCTAATCATTAATTTAATCACACATTCACCAATTGGTACATTTACAATTTTTATATCACTTAATTTCAAAACGCTACAAATCTTTGCGACATCCTCATTAAAATATATGAAGCCATATATCTGCTGCCTGTTGTTCTTAAACACATGTATGATAAAAAATATACTACGTTAAGATCAAATGGCACATGCACCAAGTCATTGCTAAACGGTTGAAACCATACTTAGAATAGCAGCATAATAATTGTTCCAGAACATTTTATACTGTTTGTGATTAAATGCATGTGTAATAAATACAAGGCATTCTATGTTATAGCTCTTTCGATAATCGCCATAAGACTATGGAGGCAATATAATTTTAACTTGTATAGATGTTATAAAAACATATAATTACATATAGTTTTATACCCTTTAAGATATTTCAATTAAAGGTGGAAACTATAATTCATATTTCTTATAAGGCCTAATCTAATTTATCTACTGCGTGTGCAATTTAAAAAATATTTTGAGAAGTTGAAAAGAAAAATTTGATCAACTACACACAAAATATAGGCTTAGCATAGCTTTCGAATGTTGTTTTTCTGAATTAAAAACAATTATTGATTTATGTTTAATCTGCAGCTAATAATAATTACTCTTTCTTTTCATCCTAGCAGTCATTAAGTTCACATTAAATATTGAAACATAGTATTAGCATACAAATCGTGACTGCATTTTGCATACTAAGTTAGATTGCAGAGTTACTAAAATAGTGGTGAAAGTAACATAAAATGTTTACTATAGATTGGACAAATCTATGTTTGTGTGCATGTTGTGTATTATCCATTACAAAATACAAAACAAAAAACAATACTTTAAACCTTATTAATGAACTATTTGCCAAATAAATGAGAAAGTAACTCTCGATTATCACATGCTTTAACATTGATAAGCATTTATTTACTTCTTAACGTTTGTCCGTATTATATAATAGCACAATATCCCATTTATACATACTATTTGAATATACTATGTTATCTTAAAATAAGAATATATATCATTCAAACACTATCATTGTTATCCATCTCAACCATCTGTCAGTTCAAGACAACATGAAAATGATAAATAATGGAAACCTTAATGAATAATGGAAACCTTAATGGTTGCCAATCTCGATAAATGAACTGTTTTTTCGCAAGCGATATTTGACTGCTCTGTCCATAGTCTGCGTTGTTAATGCAATAAAGAGAACATTTATTGACAAATGTTTCACTAAAATACATATATAACATCTCCTATATTTACAAATAAAGGAATTCACATTATATGCTGGATTAACGTATTAAGAATCCAGAAAAGTAGTTCCATTCCCTGCTATCTTCATAGATCAAATCTGATGAAGGTGATCCGTTACTGTTAATTGTCACCCATGCACGTTCCCCGATACGCATGCGTACAGCACCACTGAATGATGTACAAGTTCCAAGTTTATATGGCATGAATAATCCACTTGAACGTGTGTCACCTTGAGAAACAATAGCATAAGCTATATACCTATTTTCCATTCCACATAATTGACTGTTGAAGAAGTAGATACCGCTTATAGGTGCTGTAAAATATCCGTTTGTACTAGAATAGCCGTTGCCTTCATTTAATACAACCTTGGTGAAAACAAAAACCTGATTATCTGCCACCGATTTATCTGCGACTTTGTGTGCACGAAATGCTATGACGTCCTTTCCTAAATAAAAGAAATAATTATCATAAATGTAAATGCCAATAATTATATAAATGGTAATTATCTCTATTATAGAAAATAACTTCATTCCTTACGTTGAATGATATCAAAAACATATATAGACTTTTTATGAGAAGAACATGTCATCTTTAAACTGTTAACTGTTTAGTTATTTTAGTTCATTTGATACTTCTAAAAGTATAAGTACTAATATAAATTTATATATTAAGTAAAATTAAGTAAAGCAAATAAGTCTTAGCAAAATAAAACTAAATTACCATAATAACTATGAACAAAATATCAAACTTTAAAGCAAATGAATTAAAACTAGAATTATCATGAAATAAGTTAACTTCTCATATTTGTTAATATGTTTTCTTTTATTTTAACAATTATACTTTTTACACTGTAATTACCTCTTCTGGCTTCTAACATCTCGTCCTTCTGTTCAAGCAGCTTTATTTTTTCATTAATGTCGGCCAGGTTCTCCTGAATATTTTTCTGTGCAGTCATTATTTCAGCGTGTGTCTCAGCCATCTTCTGCTGTGCTTCTTGTATTCTCCTTTCCGTATCCATCATATTTCCATGTGTTTCACGCATGCTTCTGTCCGTTTCTTACATAGTTTCCTCCGTTTTCCGCATGCTCATCTCAGTTTCTAACATATTTTTCTCCATGTTGTTTACATTAAATTCAACACGAACCATTTTCTCAAGCAACTGTTCGTCATACGAGAACTTAGAACAAAGCGGTTCCGGCGCTGACCGCGCATAATTATTGACAATAATTAAATATATTAAGAACAAATCAATTTTAAGATGAAACATTGTAAATGTCCGTAGTTTCCGAAAGAATAAGAAAGTCTGTTTGCACAAGTATTTACTATTGAAGAATAATGATAATAATCTATGTTATGGAGAAGATAAAAAGGCAAGTTATCATAAGCCATCTTCGTTATCACCATGTCTGGTGGTTTTCGTTTATTCTTAACATATTTTTTTTTTCAGCAAAGATTATGCGTTCTGTTTAAATCATTTTACAGTAAATGCTTAGATAATTCTTTTTCTAAGCAGAGCCGCATGTAAAATTATCTTCAGTTCAAAGTCTGGAGTCATGTATTATCTTAGAAATGTACTTCGCAAAGTAAATGGGGATATTGTTGAGTTAGTTTAATTATTCATTACATTGCATTGAGTTTCGAACACATTAGTCCAATAATATTTTACTTATGTTCTTCAATTTAATTTTATATTGGTAACCTATTCTATTACGCATGTGATCACGAGTATAATTGTATGCGATTTGTTACGAATATGATCTAACGATGCTTTTAATATTGACTCATTTTCTGCTATTGGCGGCCTAGATCAAGTCACATACCTACATATCTGTTAAACACCGTGTATACTCATCTATTGTATTGCTCATTTAAAAAGATTTCTAACATGAATTAAATATTATTCTCTCCCAGATATTTTCAGCATTGCTGCTTTTAAATTGTACGACGACATGACATTCCAATATATTTTTGACGTTGAACTGTACTAAACGAGGAAATGCATTTAGCAACTCTTATTACCCCCACTGCATATTTTGAGATACGTGGAAATACATTTAGGCAAATATGACATTCAAAAGATGACATTGGACTAACAAACAGCTGGCGACAAACGGCAAGATTAATCTAATGTGATTTGAGGTGTGGGTGCTCAGATGTTTACCTTGTATTATAGCATAAAATCGGCTATTTTTCCCTATTTTGCCCATGTTATAACGGGACCAAAACCATGTGTTAACATAGTCACGCGCTCTTGTTATAGCACGGTTTCACCTATGCGCAATACATACAGGGCCCAGTAAACAAACCAAAAAAAATACGATTTTGCCTGTTTGCCAAAGAGTCATACGCTCTTGTTACATTGAAATTATTGATTCGAGGGTCTAAATCGCATTAAATACGAGTAACTATGCCGGAAATACGGCGTTTAGACATCGCTGCTAATCATTGTTGTCGCCCTTTCTAAGAAACGGACAGTTGTCAATGTAAACAAATATTCAGTTTAACCCCCCGATTAACTTACAAAACAAGATAACACAAAATAGATATGAGAAAATGTTGTTTCATTGATGTTTCTGTTCATAAATGCTCTTTATATTTCTTTGAGAGAATAATGTTTAGTGCCTGTTTTTTTATAAACTTGTGTGCTTGAAAAAAAACCGATTCAGATTACTACAGTACAGTAATCTTTTTCTACCGTCAATATGAAATCTTTCTAAGAATTTCTGAGGGTCATGTTTTGTCTTGGGTTGAGTAATGTATGTAACGTTGTTTGTTTTTTCTTGAGATAATAAATCTCTAGTGTCACGCTTTGTTAAATCAATTAAAATTCAAAGTTTCGTTTGGTTCTGAAAATTTCCCAAGTTGTTGGCCCCGGAACGCATACGTTAAATATGTAGAATTGGATAAATACCGTCCAAGCACAAGGATTTAATGTAATTGTGTTTTGTATTAAATAAACATCATGAATCTGTTTTAAAATTTTATGCTATAATAGCGTCAACGCACGTTTATTTCGTGTTATAAAGTCTGCAGAGTCCCTCAGAACTGTTGGAGCCCTCGCCCTACCGGGCTCGGGCACCAACCGTTCCTCGGGACTCTGCAGACGTTATAACAAGGAAAAACGTGCGTTAACCCTATATTATTCCGAACAGTTTTAATAAACCTTTTTATTATGTACCCAAATTATTAGGAAAACCAAAGTATACCTGAATGTTATCAATACTCTGGTAAGAAAGTTTTTATGCTCTGTACAGACATTGTAGATTTGTTTGTCGTTCACAGCTTTTATTCTGAGACACTTAGGTACATGTTATCCAATATAGAATTGTGCCAGTAAAACTATATGACTAACAATTAGCGTGTTGCGATTGGTCAATACTCAGCCAGGGGACAGTCTACAGATAGTTACCGTGACATCGATTCTATGTGGTATTCATGTTAAGGGCTAAGGATACTAACCAACCAATGAAAAACAACGTTACATAAAATAAACATCTGATCAGGTTATGGATTTTAACAGCATTTTTTCTGTCAAAAAAAAAACAACAACAAAAAACAAACGATGATCAAGGCATTTTCCATTGCATTCTAAAGAATACTATTAATATTTCGGCTAAAGACCTGTCTCATTTGTTATGCTCAATTTTCACCTCGGAAGGTCATATACTTTAAAATTCACCTCATTATCATACATAATCGGAACACCTCGGCTAGTATTCTTCATAACCTCGGACTAAACATGGTCAAAAAGTAGTTCTACCACGCGGTTTTAGATGTAAATAAAATTGAGTGTCTAATCTTTGAAAATGTATTACAAATGTATATATCTGACATCAAACTGTAATTTACGTCTTTTACCTTGTAACAGCAAAAGTTTGATAAAAATATGTCTGACAATCGAATAATCAATTTAGAAATGCGAAGTGATGTACTCTTATAAACAAATCTAAATTCATGTCAACAGGCAGACAGGCTACTTTCATAACTATAAATTTAATTACGGACTTTTACTCATTATTTAGAAATATCTTTAGCGAAACAACCACCAGCATCAAATTATTTTTTCTTTACATGTTAAGTTACTTCCGTTTTATGTATTCTTACTATTTTGTTCGGGGTTCTTATCCAAAATTTGACGAAAATGGCCGGGAACATACGATGGTATTATTATCTCGTAGGAGATAAAAAAGCCTAATTAGGAGTTTATAATTCCTACGTAGGACTTTAAAAACTCCTACGTAGGACTTTTTAACTCCTACGTAGGACTTTTAAACTCCTACGTAGGACTTTGTAACTCCTACGTAGGAGATAAAAAAGCCTAATTAGGAGTTTATAACTCCTACGTAGGACTTTTAACCTGCTACGTAGGACTTTTTTACTCCTACGTAGGACTTTTAAACTCCTACGTAGGACTTTGTAACTCCTACGTTGGAGATAAAAAAGCCTAATTAGGAGTTTATAACTCCTACTTAGGACTTTATAAGTCCTATGTAGGAGATAAAAAAGCCTAATTAGGAGTTAATAACTCCTACGTAGGACTTTGTAACTCCTACGTAGGAGATAAAAAAAGTTTATGCATGCATGCACATCATAAATCAATCACTTGCACGGAAAGCACGTGCTATAACGTCGATGTTCTAGAACGCCAGGTCCTTTCAGCAAGACTTCTGAGAGACTGCTGAATCTGCAGCTTGGCGGCAACTGCAGGATTTGACATGAAACGAGTTAGTTTTTCGCGTTTCTTCATCACCAACCTAACTTGCTTAGCTAATACTGTAAACACCTCAAAAACACTATCTCTAGCCTCGCTTGCAGAGGTCTCAAAAAAGAATTATAAACTCCTAATTAGGCTTTTTTATCTCCAACGTAGGAGTTACAAAGTCCTACGTAGGAGTTTAAAAGTCTTACGTAGGAGTAAAAAAGTCCTACGTAGCAGGTTAAAAGTCCTACGTAGGAGTTATAAATTCCTAATTAGGATTTTTTATCTCCTACGTAGGAGTTACAAAGTCCTACGTAGGAGTTTAAAAGTCCTACGTAGGAGTTAAAAAGTCCTACGTAGGAGTTTTTAAAGTCCTACGTAGGAATTATAAACTCCTAATTAGGCTTTTTTATCTCCTACGTAGGACTTATAAACCATAAGTAGGCTTTTTTATCTTCTACGTAGGAGTTTTCAATTTTTATAGAACACGTTAAATTGGCACCAGGACGCTTTCGTAGGGTTCCTTTTATTGTTCTGTACAAAGCGTGTAAAAGACTCGACTTGGTTTTTTTTCTTATACGCTTTTTGACAACCGGTTTTGCAATAAAACGAGTTTTGCATATTTATTGCAAAATGCAAAATTAAATGTTGAATCATATATGTTTTTTATTGAACTACTACACTGCTTTTCGGTGGTTTATAGAAATATACCAGTGATATAAAACTGGTAATTTCACTGTTTTTAACAGTGAAATTATCAATTTGATAATTTCACTGTTTTGAATTTAGGCCCCTTACGTTGATTCAGTGAAATACCAGCGTGCACAGTACTGGGAACCAACTTAATGACGTGACGTCGTAAATGACGTCATGTTGTATTATTATTTGGCGCGCTTATCATTCAGTATTAGGTTAAATGTATTTTTAAAACGTTTCAATGCATATACTAAAAAGAAAATTTGTTTAGTTTAGTGTAAGATCGAAATATGTTTTACCTTGTGAACACTAAAAGTTCATATTTCACTCGTGGCTGCGCCACTCATAAAATATACCTTTTGGTACTCACTCGGTGAAATATATTCAGATCTTACACTGAACTAAACAAATATCCGCTATATAATCCTTATGTTAAAATGAAATATAAGATAGCATTGCCTCGATTAAATCTGAATATAAAAGCTGTATTTGGATATTTTATGGCAAAACTAATTTTTATTGCAAAAAGACAATTGCCACAAAATTCATTAGAACGAGTTGTGCGATAAATTTGTTGCAAAACTGGTTATTACAACGTTTTCTCCATCATTGCACTTGTCCAAATGAAAATATATTGCTGTAAATTGGGAGAAACATCATACACTCTTCATTTTGTTTAAATGGCAATCGTGTCAACATTTCGGAATGTATGGAGTTACTTACGTATTATTAAACAGAAATATAGATTTCAGGGGAGAGAACGTTTTAACTGAAAATGACGGAAAGATTAACAGCTGTTTTATTAGAAGTCAGATATTCTTTGCAACTTCTATGTATTTTAACGATTTAAAAGGCGTTTTTAGATGCAGTGCTGCAGAGACAAACTGAATTAAGTCTATGTTATTTTCATCCGTGAACAACAAACAACATTTTAGTTTAAGAAATAACATCGGCCTGAGTGATGTATATCGGCTATTTAACACCGG